CTGCTGAAACACACTTAACAGTCTGTCGATAAACACAGGCTTTTGCCAAGAGGTATATGTCTGAGCCTTCTTTCACAGCAACAGGTAATATCCCAAACTTCCCATTTCCTGCTAGAAATCTAAGCCATTTTTCTTGGCAGCAGAGTACTTTCCCTGAACTCAGAAAAGACCTTCTTAAATGAAAAAAAAGGTTGAACAAATAAATCCCAGTAATACACATGCTTATCTTTAGCAAACAACAGGAATGAGGAACATGGAAGCACTGGAAGAAATATGGTGGCTGTATGGACAAGTGCAGCCCAGGCTGCACAAACAAGCAGCCCACTTCTTCTTCCTCTATCACTCTCGACCCACGTGCTACAAGGTCGAGAACTTTGACTTAAAACTTTAATATTATTTCCAAGCAGATTCTTATTTGAAAAAAGTAAGGACAGAAGAAAAATGTACTAAGATGTATTAAAAATAAATCAGCAAGGGGACTGACTGAAAAGGAGAGAAGCTGTGAGAAAAGGAACATGGCAAAAGGGCAGAGAAGAAAATGCTCAGGAAAAAAAGACTCAGAGAGGTATTCATTCATGTAGTTACGTGTGGAGGTAGTTTTAAGGTAAAGGAGGAGCAGGCTGCTTTTCCACTCTAAATAAAACACGTTTCTCTACAGCTATTGTTAAAATGAAAACAAAGAGCAGCAAAAAGACTGAATCCAAACCACAACCCCCTGAAAAAATCAAGGAAGAGAAAAGCACTTTTATCTTTTTCCCCTCCCCTCCGCGGGCAGCAGCGCTCACCTCTGGAGCTGGGGAAGGAGTTGTTCAGCTGCTCCATCACTTCCTCCAGACCTGTGCTTGTGTCCTGGGGAGGGCTGAGCAGCTCATCCTCGCCTGGAAAGCAAACCCACTGCATGAGAGCCACTATAAAACTATTTGCTGACTGCCTGCTGTTGCATGTGTCCTTCAGGAAGCTAAGGCTGTTCACAGAAACACATTTTATGCTTAGTGTATAGTCAAAATTTTAAAGGCGAATTTTGTTGACTATTATGTTTCTCCTTCTTTTAAAGATCTAAGTGAAATTAAACAAAGAATTTTACACAATTAACATTGACTTTAATTCGTAAAAAGGGATTTAAGAAATAATCTACTCTCGTAACAGAAGTGGGGTAAAATGCCTGCTAAGAACATTTAGTTCCGTAAATGACACGCGTTGTTTCAGCTTCTTTTCTTCCATTAATGGAAAAAGAAATTGCTGTTGTGAGTGCTGCTATTGAGCAGCCTTCTAGCAGTGCTGGATTCATGTTAGCACTGCTTTGCCTAGCTGCGTAAATCAGTAGAAACCCAGATTCTCATCTGTATCAGTATTAATATTTCTGACAGTTTAATTGCATCAGATTTGTGCTCTAAGAACATTCAATTGTACCGTAAAAGGGTTTAGCAGCAGTTTAATAAAGCAAAATACATTTTTCCCACTGAATAATTTCTATAACCTGATTATAGGGCAGCAGCTTAATGGGAAATTCAATACAATTTATATTCACTAGGGGTTTTTTTGGTCATGGTTTCAGATAACTAAGATCCACATGTTGATTTTACTGTAGACCCTAGACTTCAATTCAAGCATCTGAAAAAAGAATACACCTAAAGGATATACTTTGATTGAGATTCTCCTTTTTCACCAGATTTCTTTTATCCCTATTAAAACACAAAAGCAATTTTGCCTGCTGTAGTAACCATGAGAGGTACATCTATTTTGAAAATGTCTTAATGATCCTTTATTCTAATGTCTTGCCCCACTCCAGTAATAAACTGCCTGTTTTTCTGTTGGCATTTACATTCTTTAAATATTGAGGTGCTCCACATTAGTGGAAAGGCTACTAAAAGAGATGCTAAAGAAACACTTCAGGACTCCATATATTTCCAATAGGAAAAATTAGTCTGACTCTTGGCCTCACCTTAGGGCTTTGAGTTTCACAAGAGTTACTACTGACCAAGAGTCACTCTTCCCTCTCCTCGGAAGAAGTGGGGTAAAGTGTCTGCAAGAAGCACTTAATTAATTTAAGTGACGGTCATCTTATCTGCTTCTTTTATTCTATGAACAGTCTGAAAATAGCTGCTGAGTCTGCCTGGAGTTTGCCCAGCATTTGACTGGGGCTGGGCTCACACAAATGAATTCACACCTTAAATTAGTTTTGCGTCAAGCACTGCAGTGACAGAGGTGCCTTAGGACCCAGAGTGAAAACCCAGAGTGAGATCTTGCTGCTTCTCCCCTGGCTGAGGACCTTATCACCATGCCTACAGAAAGCCACCTGGCCCTAAAGATCAGAAGAAGAGAGCAGCGGTTCTGCTGTCCTGGCCAAGAAGAACTCAGGAAAAGGTACTGATTTCCAAACGTCCTGGTAAGCACTGGAATGTATTGACTCTCAAGACTGCCTTATCTTTTATTTAAAATGCATTTTTTTTTTCTCATTTGGATGATTTTTCTGAGCATTTCCTTGTAAATGACAAAATCAGACGTTGGCTAAGCAACTCGACAGAAGTAGACACCCTCAGATCTCAGTTACCTCTCTTTACCCAAAACAGTCTTCTTCATTTGTGTTTCTACAAAAGGCTTGGGGAGCTGAACGGGTCTCAAATATTCTGGTGGCACCTGAATTAATTAAAATTCAGCAACAGCCTCTTAGCTAATATGCCTCAGAGAACCTCCTCTGCTGCTGTACTACTGGTGGAGAAGGGCTAAAGACTTTTAGGACTCTCCCATTAGGACTCTGAGAAGAAAAGCGGAACCTTTCCATTTGCCCAAGTGTATTTCAGGCTATCAAGGGATGAGCTCTTCTATTTGTAATTTAGGATCTGAGAGAGTTGCTGCTTTTACCAAATGCTGGACAACACTGGTAATGGAAAACATCTTACAGTGATCTCTGCTTGAGAAAGCAGAGCGACAGAGAAGTGCAGTGGCTCTACATTCAAAATAAAAAACTATGGTCTCCTTTCAAAAAGAAAAATACATAAAAGCTACCACTACATTACCTCATTGCCTGAAAGACCATGAGTTCCTCCATATTTTCTTGAAAATTATGACTCACTCATTTCTGGGCACGTGCTTGCTGCATGGGAGCATTATCTACAACACCACTCTCTCGTTCCCTTCACGATTCAAGAACACTTTAAGTTGTGCTTCAGAGAACTCTTCAGGCTAGCAAGCAAAGCTTTCTGAAGTGACAGGAGACTCAACAAACTGCATTAGTTGTGGTTTGTTACCTCGGTTAGTAATTCTTTTTATAAGCTCCACCCCATGCTGCCAACCCTGTTGCTTTGCTGAGCCTCAACATGATCACACTGATAACAGTTCAACATCTTAATGTCCTTCCACATATTGGCTCAATCAAACAAAAAAAACCTGAGACATGTCTAAATATTTGTTTTAAAAAAGTTTTATCAGTTTATATGATTGTATGTGTGTTAATGAATTAATTCCAGTCTTACAAGTTAAATGGGAATAATTTTATATGAAGAAAAGTAGTACATTATTGTATTTTGTCCCACTAAAGGATAAAATACGAAATGACAAGAATTTTAATAAGATGGCTGGGAACCACTGTTTTCCTTTCTTTTCTTGTGTATTTTAATTAACATATTTAATGTGATGAAATTCACATTTCTTCAGAAAGCCAATGGAAATTTCTCCACCAGTACATTTTGTCTACTGTGTGTATGCCATACATAGCAAAATATTTACTGACTAGTAATACAGTTAAAGAAAGATCCAAACAAACCTGCTGTTACCTGTGACTGTGTTCTCATCCTCAGGATTTAATTTAAGGATTCCTAAAGGAAGTTTTTTTTTTTTGTTGTTGTAGGGTGTACAGAAACCATCTTGCTTGATACTTGCACAGGCTGACCTTACTGCCTGTACTCAGCATGGAAGAAAAAGCCCACAAACAAGCTGCATCTCCCACCACGATGGCAGTTCAGACAGCAGACTGTTCCCTCCCATTCAATTTCTCACTGTCATCTACTCTTTCACTAACCACAGCAAGGAGAAAAGCTTTCACTTAACCGTATCACTCTCCCCCATAAGCCTCTCTATAATATACACTAAACAGATTTCTGTGTATTAACTCCAAATATTATCTTGAATTAATTTAAGCACATTTGCTTAAAGATGCTGCAACAGTTGATTGCTTCTTTACTAGCAGAAAATCCTTACTACTTGGTAATAAATACTTACTAATTATATAACAGCTAGGAAATTAGGAAAATGACACAGAGCAGTTACTAAAAGCACCAAAATAATAATAATAATAGCCTCTAGCTACAGGATGATATTACTTAACCTTACTCCACAACTCATATGATGTTTATTATCACAGCTGATGCGATATTTAGAAAAGACCCTAGATGAACACTGCCTGTGAGTGACAGCTCAATCCTACTGGTTGAGCCATGCCATATTAAAAATAAGATCACACCAGTTAACATGGGGATGATTAATCATACACTTAATCTCTTGGCCATAATTAATACTATGCACAGTTAATTCAGTCATATAATGTTTAACAGCTGAAGGTCCATTTGAATAAAATAGTTGCTTATTGCTACTTGTATTGAGAAGTCAAGCCCTGGCCAAGCTTTCTGTTTAATGCCAAAATACCCATGTGACAGTGGGCATCATGACCAAAAGCAGAAGCCTGAACCATGACGAAGATGCACACAGCCAGATGGCAACAAAGACCACTGCAAATGTCTACTTCATTCTCATTTGAACTTAGCAGGAGAGAAGAATATTTTCTGTCTTCATGGATATTTTTTTTTCCTGGAAAGTAAGAACTAGAATTACTTTTTATGACAATCTGAACTTTGTTGTCTTACCCATGGTTTCTGAAGTCTGGCTGCCAACTACACGAAGAAGCATTGGCTGGCTGCTGTCTGACCTCTGCAAAGAGGTAGAAGGAGATGACAGTGTTGTACCGTTTACCTTGGCATCTGCCTGCGGCTGAAAATTGAAGAAAAAAAGAAGAGGCTGTTATTAATAGCGCAGTAGAGTTGTACAAATCTTGGTATCTCTGTATATTTTATTTTTTCCACGAATACACACAATTTTATCTCTGTTTTTAAGTAAACATACCCATGCAAACAATGGATTTGAATTCTGAATAAGACAAGGAAGACTGAATAAGAACCTTGAAACACCATTTTCCTTCTCACTTGCAGCCTGTAGAACAATTTGGTATTTTTCACCGACTCGTCTCTACAGATAGGATTTCTTGGTCTGCTGTCATTACTGATAACACTTCATACCCTGTTTAGAAGATGGCTCTAGCGAGACCTAGAACAAAGGCCTGAGGACCCACCTGCTCCAGCAGCTGCCTCAGCCTGTGCAGCTGTGACTCCAGCTGTTTGTTGTGATCCTCCAGAATCTGCATCCTGGCCTCCAGGCGGCCCTTGTGCTGTCGAAGCAGCTTGGCTTCTGCAATGAGCTCAGCGTCCCGGGGGCTTTGTGGAGAAACTGCCATCATCTCCGGTGGGGACGGCAGTGGAGACAGTCCTTTGTGGTCATGCTGTTGCTTCAAACGGTCGTACTCTGCTTGCAAGTTTCTGTGGAGAAGTAACAAGGAGGTAAAACCTTTATGAGGCCAAATAAGCCAGTGCAGGCTGTCCTCTGCACAGGGCAGTGAGAAGGCACCTCTTTCCACGTGGTGTGACGTGTGCCACTGCCGGGAGCAGGGGCTCACCCCCAACACCTGCCTCTCATTCTGCTGAATCCACGGTGGTAGGCTTACACCTTGCAGGCTTTCACAGAGCTGGTGCTATAGGGACTGTGACACAAGCATTGCCCCAAGGCTCTCTGCATCACCAGAATTCAGAATTGACTCCCTCCCAGGGCACGGGATGCAGATGGCTGGCTGGGCTCCAGACACCCTCCTGAAGCCTGGGTACGGCCTGTCCTGGTCTCAGCCCTCTCTTGGCTTCCTGCATTTTATCCTTCTCAGCAGAGGCAGGACAGCCTGTTTGCTTCCATGCACGAATACACTCGAGGAGTAATTAGTGCTAAATGAGAACTTCACAAGCACTAACCAAAGCGGACACCACCTGGCTGGCCTACCTATTTCACAGACGAGAAAGCTGCAACAGAAAGGCAGCCATGCAAAAAGTCAGAGCAAAACACAGAACTCAAAGAGTTCATTTGCAGCTCTGCCACTGTCAGTCAGGTCACATCCCTCTCCGCCCTTCCTATTTGCAACAGCAGTTCCAGCCTTGCTCTACAACTAATACCCTAAGATGAGGAAAAAACAGGTGAATGCACCAATCCTTTACACAGCACTGCAGTAACTTTTCGGCCTGTAATTTCTGTCTTCGTTTGGACTGCCTTGTCTAGAGAGCTGCACTCTACTGTAACTTTAAAGCACTGCTAAGCTTGTTCTTTTGTTTTGAAAAACTCCAGTCTACTCTAGCAAAACACTCTCCATAGATTAATAGCATCTACAGTGGTTCACATGAAAAAAAAAAAATCTTCCAAGCAGGAAGAGCACAGAAAGTAAGAAACTGAGACTTTGTTAGGGATACCACAGTCCAAAAATGAAAAAAATAGTAACTTGTAACAGAAACTTTACAGGCAAGGGAAGCCTAATAAACTTCACTGGGTTTTTGTTTCTATGATGTTCCTTCGCAGCCTCCCAGAGCAGGGAAAAATGGCTCAACGCTCTTGCAACTGCTTACTCATCACAAGCAGTGACCCAGATTTTATTTTTTTCCAACTCGCTTTTGTTTGAGGTTGTGAGAACAGGCACTTTTTGCCAGTTCTGCCTGCAAACCACAATACACACTGACAGTTCTGTCTGGAGGCTTAATAGCACCTCAGAAACCTCCCAATAAACTTTATTAAGCTCTGAAACACTTCTAGAGGTACATTACTGTGACCAGAACAAGCACTAAAGCAGCATGCATCATTTCACATGGATAAGCAAGCAATGCCAAGGACAAAGACAGGCTACTGACTGTTCTTCAAACGTCCTTGTGCCCCTCAGCAGCTGCACTGACCCATCCTAACCTGGGACTGTGGCACCCGCCCAGAACATGATCCCTAAGGGATGTCTGACTTACACGATCTCTCCTCTGCAGAAGTTTTAAAAGGTTACAAAATGGGTTGATCATTCTTAACTTCCATTTGTTCCAAAATTCAAGATTTCTTTCTCTAAAACCCACACAAAAAGGGAAGACTATGGAGAGTATTTTTCTCAAAAGAATTTTTTTTAAAAATGAAATAGACAATTTCAAGTCCATCAAAATTAACTGGAAAAAAAGAAAGAAGAGCTATACTAGGTCTTGCCTTCTACATGGCTTCTGGTACTTCTGGCTGAGTGAACCTGTGAATGATTAATAAAAAACCAAACAGGAAGGAGTATGACAACATTATCTCACACAGCCTTATTACGGACTGAAGTTTATACAGGATTGTTCATTAAGCTTGTTTTTCACAAAGTCTGTAGATAGTGGCTATCGCTACTCCATGAGGAATTTCCCAGCTGTATGATACACGCAATGCTCTACAAATAGCAGACTCAAAAGTTTGAAGTGCTGTAAACTGTAAGATAAAATATCACCCTAGGGGGAACTAAATAAATGCACTTGGTCATACTTTCAACAATAAGGTGCCTTATTACAAATAAACCTACAATTATCACTTCAACTATCAATATAGAAGTCCCTCCATAACTATGTGAGGACCAGAATAATTCAGATAAAAATGCCTTCATGTCTGATACAAAATAGTTAAATACTCTTCTGAAAGCCTACAGAAAAAAAAAAAATAATGTAAGGGATACTGCATATTATCCAAGCAGAGATATATCTGAATTCGTGAGTTCTGTAATTAAATACAGTAATATTGTTGGAACAAAGGAATGTCATTTTGAAGGATGCATATGAGTTTGCCCAGAGCACCTGTGTCACTGAGTTTTCCAGCTACACAGTCCTTAGCCCAGGGAACTGAGACTCATCATAGCACTGCCCTCAGAGCTGTAGAAGTGATGCGGAGTGCAGGTTATCAACAATGTCATAATAACAGAGATCTAAACATACAGGAATAATGATCTGTATTAACACGGAGACAAAGCTGAAAAATAAAAAAAAAAAGAAAGAATTTGAAACCTGCTGTAAGAATATCCGAGGAGAGAAAAATGGGCTCTTATTCCTACCTCTGGAATAGTTTCAAGCTGTGTGGTGAAAAAGTGATCTGCTGACTGCTGCTGCAGGCCAGGCATCCAAAGCCACTGCCCACAGCCCTCAGTGTCCTGAGGAAAGGCAATCTCTGACATGTTCAGCATGAGACATTAGAGAAAGAGGAGATAAAAGCATAATCCTCTTTAAATGAATTCAATGGAGCAAGCTCGGGCAGTACTAGGAAACATAGTCTCCCTCCACCACAGCTCAGGCTGGGTGACTTTTACATCTGGGCGTCATAAACTAACAAAGCTGCGGCATCTTCTGATCACTGGGAACATATATTCTTCTCCAGTAAGAGAAATATTCAAAGAAAACCTTCATATATTCCATATATTCTGTTTACAATGCTTGCATCTCTTTGAAGCATTCATGAAGAAAAATAACAGAGGAAGCACACAATGTAACCTTGATTTATGCAGGTGTAAAGAGCTGTGCAGTAAAGAGCTCGTGAGCTATTAATCTCATCTATCACAGGCAGCATTAATTGCCTGGTGACTGAAATCCTAGTGGACCCCATTTGCTGAGTAGTGCTCTCAGAGGCAACTGAGAATTTGTGAATTTGTGTTATTTTTCATCTCCTTACAGAAAATTAGTGGTCTGAAGAAAGGGACAAAGCTGACTGAACTACCTACCCCTTCCCCTCACTAGAGTGCCAGTGTTTACTCATGATGCTCCACACTCACAGGATCTAGCTCCCCTTCCTCAATGCCAAAATAAATACCAAAAGGAGCCACAGCACATTTAGAAATGGATCACTTTCTCACTATTGGCAGCTACACAGAAGGAACTTATTTGAGGAGGCCATTCATCAGTGTTCAGATTTGAAGGAAGGCTGTAGCTGTACGGAAACAGGGCAGCTTTGAGATTCGGGGTGTCAGTGTGTCTCCAGTAGCACCCAGCCCACCCGCTCCCACGGCACGCCAGGAAAGCAAAATAAAGGCAAATAGCTCCGGATGGAGACCTCAGTTACTGAGTTCTTGTCGTAGTACAGCTGGGAGGAGAATAAGATAACGTGAAAGGTCTCTCTTCTATAGAAGCGTGTCAGTGATCTTGATTCAATTAAAATATTAGGAAACATTAACTTTCTTGATTCATTAAAATAGCAGGAAAGTATTTTAATTCTTTGCAAAAAGTTCTGAGTCTCTGTCACTGCAAAACTGTATGCTTTCTATTTAATGCTAGTAGGGCACACCCCAGCCAGTATAATCCATCCTACAGTAGGACCTATGTAATGTATGGATTCACATGGACACCAAAAATCTGTCTGTTTCTGGAACATATTAACTTTTAAGGAAGTTTCAAAATGGTTTTGGGTCCATTTTCTAATTGAGTTTTTCTCTTATATTGCAATATAACAATAGTGCCTTCCATAGCAAGATGACTTTATGTCTGTTGAATACATAAGAAATGGTCTTATCACAATATTCTGTATGATGAAAAATTGAGCATGAAAGCCTAATGCTCAAATAAAACATTTTCACTGATTGAAAATATTCTCTAAAATGCTCACATTTTAGCAAACATAAATTATTTAATAGCAAATTTCAGTGCTAAATTATTTAAGGAAGTCATATTTGCAAGCCACAAAAGCACCGAGGTCTCAAAATGCTAGCAGATAAATAATGAATATCTAACAAGAACCCCTCAGAACTGAAAAAAAAACCCAGTCAGAACTGTGTCACAGCTAGGCTAGTTCATAAGTTGGATAATACATTTCAGAAGAATTCAAAATAAGCAACAGATCTTTTCAAACTGTCCAAAAGCAAAGCCTCAGAATTACAATTTCCAAGACGCTTTTTCATTTAAGTAACAAGTCAAGATGGAAATATCTGGAGACCAGAAACTGCAGCTGAAAACCAAACGGAGGTCAGAATTCAGAAGTCAAAACATGAAGCAAAAAAGAGAAGGGCTTTTTTAAAAAGCAGGAAACTGGAAAGCAGCAGCAAAAAAGAAGTGACAATGAAGTGTCTGGAATACCACAGCATTGCTTCTTATTGGTACTTGATGCAGCTTTCCCAAGAGTTGCTGAGAAGTGACTGCATGTGCTGACTCTAACTGAAATAATTCAAGGTACAGCAGAGAGCTAAATCTTCATTGTCAAAAATCATCAGAAGTGTAGGCAACAAAAGCTGTGTCAACACAGGCAGGAAAGCATGTTTGCTCATCTAACAGGACTAGCTGCCCAGCCACTTGTTCTCCCAGGCAGAAGCATCACGTCCAGCTCAGCTCAGGCAAGGGAGACACGTCTGGCAACAAGACCTGAGGTATTTACAGTGGGGGTGAAACAATTGAGGTGCTTTAAGGCCGGGCTGAGGACCAGGCAGTCACAATGTGATCTGCATCATGTTCAGCTCATTTCCAGACAACAGATTCATTGAGTCTTCATGCTGTGGCAATAAAAAACATGTACTCAGAGGGCATATTTAGGATCAGCATGGGAAGGAAGGAATATGAATTCACCCACTGGAACTGGGTCCACACAAGAAATTAGGTCTCAGGTTGGTGATTCCCTTTGGCAACAGCCAAAAAAAAGGTCTGCACACACTCAAAGGAGGAGAAAGACTAGAAAATAGAAATCTAAAGGATCAAGACTGTTTTTCAAGGATAGGCAAGTTATATGAATGACTCCTGACTGAATCTGTCTGACATTTTTCTAAACAGGAATCAGTGTTTCCCCCATAAAATCATAGTTATTTGGCTGCAACAAGCTATCAGGACAACAAGAACTTGTTCATTTTTGAGCATCCACCTCACATTTAAGTACAGGTTATTTATAGCAGTTTGCAGAGACAAAAGTCATGATTTTGTCATAATCAATGAAAATCACAGCAGTGTGACCTCCACGCTGCCCTACAGAAACAGACTTCTTTGTCTCTGCTGCACTGAGACCTGGAGCATCCAAGAGAGGCAAGGCTGCTTGTGGTGGCATTCTGTCCCTAACTGAGCCTCTAACAGTAAAAATGAGAAAAAAAAAATAGCTATAATCAAGCTTATAGTCTATAGCTCTTGTTTAATCCAGGACTGGAAAATTTCAAACCAGGTAGTTTTAAGGTGTAATTCCTGTCAGAGATCTTTTATCATCCTATATCTCATTAGTAGTTGTTACATTAAATAAAGCTCATGCTGAAGTTTAAGGAATATACCCCAAACCAAAATTGTTTAACCTGTTTAGCTGTCTAACTCGAGGTTATACTCATGTTCATATACCACATTTTTGACGTAAAACAAGGCTGCTTTAAGTCATCCTCCTTTATGGTGGGCAGCTTATTTTCTGTACAGACAGAAAAGCATTTTTTTTTCCTTTTTTTTTAGTGCTGTTTAGAAAAGTAATGCCCCTCCTCTGAAAACAAACCTATTTTACTATCTGCATGGTAGTAGTTACACAATATTTCTTAAATACAGAAGCCCTGTACACAGAATATGATGGCTTTTTTCAGCAGTCTGGGGTTTGTTCCAAACAAAATCTCACTGCTGTTCTGTGGGGGAGAGCTCTGTTCACTACAGCTTTCTGTTGGATACACTTTCCTCACTCTTTACACTTACTGATACTCCATGTTCACCCAAATCCTCCTGATAAAAAGTGCGTGATGGAACCACTGTAATTGATTAGTACCATCCAAAAAAAGACTTATGCATGCAGAGAAGATCTATGACACTGTCAACACTTGCATTATTTTCTTGACATGCCTGAGGTCACTGCACTAAACCCTCAATGTAAACAAAAGTACCTCGCTCTAAAAGAAGTAAGAGAAAATTGCATGAAAATGCCAAGAGAATGTACCATAAAAGGTGAAGATAGAGAGGGCAAACAGAAAAGGAATTTTTTTTGTGGATCAAAATGATTTCTCTCTTACAGTCTGATTTTGGTAGTTCATGGTTGCAATTACAAATCTGCCTGGCTCAAGATCTGCCAGTTTCTATGCTGATGGCCCAAGACTCCAGAATACCATAGAAAGAGGACTGCAATGTTGTCATGCTGCAAGAACCCAGACAGTTATGTGGTTTTGTTTGTTTGTGATTAATGATGATAAACTTTATTAAAGTTATTTAAGATTCATGAATATAACTTTTCTTTCTGTGAGAGTGGTGAGCCACCAGAACAGGCTGCCCAGAGAGGTTGTAGATGCCCTGTCACTGGAAGTGTTAAGGCCAGGCTGTATGGGACTTTGAGCAACCTGGTCTAGTGGAAGGCATCCCTGACCATGGCAGGGGGGTTGGAAATAGATGATCTTTAAGGTCCCTTTGAACACAAACCATTCTATGATTTTATAACTTCAATTAAACTTGAAATTAGAAGTGGTAAAAGATAATTGGCATCAAAAGGCTAAAGAAATGGCAACAAGCAACTTGAAATATGAAAGAAAAGATGACCCACCTTTTAATCATTATGAAAGTACTCATTTTTCAGATGAAAATGCAGCTTTGTAACTCATTTTATCCCCAAAAATGCTATCAAAGTGAAATCCACCTAACCATACAGTACAATTATTTCACAGATTCCTTACTTCAAATGAACTGAGATAATTTCAGAACCTTAGGTATCCTAATGACCAACCTTCTGAGAAAAGCCTGCCTTTCCTAGAAACTCTGCCTGTCTTTTCCAGGAAGGGATACAGAAATATGCACGTCCTTCCCTCTCTTAATGGCAAAATAAAGTAACACTGGTATGAAGCTCATTACCATCATAGAAATAAAGGAAACAGTAGAACAGAAAGAAATATTATGAAAGACATCTAGCAGAGCTTGTCACAGGTGGCACCATGAGTATTAGATAATATGCATGTCTTTGAAGCTTGCCGTTTTGGAGGTTTTGTGAAAGAAACAGTGCTGACTCATCATCACTCTGGAAGTGGGAATGAGTCTGTGATGACAGGATGTCAGCCTCATCTCCTGCAGAGAGAAATCCCCTGCAGCATTTACCCAAGGGCTGCAGCAGCCAGCGGCGTTACCAACCTGTTTTCCTCCTCCAGGTCCGCAAGGATTCTCTCCAGTTCTCCTCTTTCCTCACTCTCCAGAGAAATTAGGATCTGGGCAGGGCTTCGTGGCTGGCTCAGGGGGGACTCCTGGTTCAGACTTTGGCAGTAGTGCTGGATTAACAAGTGTTCATCATCACTGGAAAACAGAGGAGCATAAGACAGGCTGTCCCCTTCCTCATTTTTAACTTCACAGTGGGTATGAGGAGATGATTCACTCCTGATCTCTAGCTTCTTGCCAAGAGATTCGTTGAACCATTTGTAACAAAGAGCAGAGCAATGTAACATAAAGCAAAATCTGCTGAACTGTTTCATTTAGTCTCCGGCAACTCCCCTTCGCTGCAGAGTCCACCTCTCTTCTCTACTTCTCAGCTATTTAACGCCAAGTTTTGCCGCAGCCACCAACCTCAGCTTACTTCTTTTGCCTAACTTCAGTTAGGAATTTGCTTAAGTAAAAAGACCTGATCTGTGTTGTTGAAGGATCATTCAAGTATTGGAAAGGCCTTTATTTTTACACCTACAAACTCCTCTTATGTAATAAAGGTATCCTCTATGTATCTATTTTTCTCTATAAAATTGTAGATGAGGTAAAATAAAAAGATTTTTTTTAATCTTTTCTAAAAAGGTAGGGTTTTTTCTTATGTAAATTACAAATGATGTACAATATCAGAATACAAATATATTCTATTTAATACATATGATCTCTTCCTCTATTCCTGTAGCCCCCAAAGCTGTCTGGCATTTGAAGCAGAAACATCTCTGGAAGTGAAAAGCAAATCCAATTACAAAGCCCTTGACCATCTCCCAGAATTACATGGGTGTTTTAGGTGCTAAGGAGATGCATCCAGGCCCTAAGCTATATAGATAACATCAGCAGTAACTTGAGAAACCATGAAAGATTCCTCTTGACACCACAAGTCAAGGACAGAAAAAAATTACAGCGCTGTTGGGAATCTTGTTTTTCTGGTAGTACTTACTTCTAAAAAATAATTCAGTCTCCTTTTTTTTTCTGTTACATTTGTAATCCAGAATTTAACAGGCATATTTAATAGCTATTGCTGTTCAAAAATTAGAATTTCCCTTGTTTCCATTTTGTTCCTGAAAATGTTAATGATGCCATTTTATAGACTGCAGGAGTGCTAATGCAGTGTAGAGCACATTAACATCAGTTCATAAAAGGGAAATATTAATTCTTCACAACAGGCATCCAAAATCCTGAAGTCTTGCCAGTTCCTAAATTTATACTTTTCATTAAACACTTCAGCTATGAAGTTTCCTTCAAACAACTGTTCTGCATTTATAAATATCCTTATGCATCTTAAGTTAATTAACAGTGAAAAAGTGATATAAGCACTGCAGTATAATGTAACTTTGAAAGACATACTCTTTTTTGTATGATTTTCAGCCTGCACATATTTTGTATACATAAATGTAATGACACCTCATATCACAATGTTTTGTGGTATATATACACATTACCTCTTTATTTCCCTCCTTCCCCGTCTCCATCTAATGCTCCAACTGTAAATATAAACCCGATAATCCAAAACCCTTAATTCATGGTAAGCTTTTATTTTGCTGCGATTTGTATATGGAGCATATTTTTTCCAAAATTCAGAATGTACAGCTCTATTCTCATATTAATAGTACAGACTGAGGAAGAAACTGGATAGTCAGTGGTTAATATTAACTGAATCTTATTAATACAACTTCTAATTAGCTAAAGAATGAGTTAAGCAGTAATATCAATGTGTAAAACAAAAGATGCTGCTTACATATGACTTTGTGACTAAGGACACTGACATATTACAGGCAATTCCATACACAATAGCATTACTACTACCCATAACAATACAAGATTGACATACAGGTTGGAAACAAGAGTTTTCATTAACTGCTTGAAACTATATTGACGTTGTGTACACATTATTTTTGAGGTGTCACTTTAACTTTCTCCCTTTTGAACCAATATATTAAAATTTGGGGGCTTTCTTTCATAGTTGGTAGGTAACAATACTACCAGATCAAAAGAGAAACTATTTCAAAACAATGAAACAGCTTTATTGCTATCCAAGAACATCTCACAGGCTCACAACCAACCTTATCAAATACTAATGATTTGGAATCTCAGTTTAAGTGAATGAAAACTGGCTGGAGTACTCTGCTTTACAGAAATGCTACAAATTTAATAGAAATAGATTCTGTCTGAATTTAAAAAAAAAAATCCACTCCTTAAACTAGGAAAGTATGAGATTATGCAGAACAGAAAAAACATTTAGAAAAGTCGGCATATGATTTTTTTTCATATTTGATTTATTTAGAATCTGTGCTATGGCTTTTCCTACATAGTTAATTAACTAAGACCAAATTTTCAGGCACAACAGTTACTTGGGGGCTTCTATCCTTTTTTTCTGAAACATTACAATTAATTTTCTAGTTCTATGTCCTTTCCTTCAGAGAATAAACAACATCAAGAAAATCATGAGAGGAAAGATATATTATTGTGTCAGAAAATCACAAAAAGGTCTCAGTGTGACAGTAGATTGAATAATTTTTTAAAACCAACATTAATTAAGACTTTACATTTAAAGTAGTATAATGAATGCCTGTCAGTGATCTGTCCAACTTAAAAGTTTACTACTTCTAACACTTCATGGTGAGGATGAGTCTCTCCAGCTTACACTTGCAAGGTATTTCAGGTATTTGTAGACCAAAGGTTTCTGTTTCGCCCCTCTAACCTTTGGAATGACACTGCCCACAACATTTTCTAGCTTACAGCAGTTTAGCCATGATTAAGCTTGCAGCACTGAGAGAAGTGCTATCAGTGATAGAAGAAGGATCATCTTGTCTGAGCTCTTTTTCCAAGTAATATGGAAACTATTTGCTGAATAAACCATCACTTTTGGAAGAAATTAGTAATCGTAATTTTGAAGGTGTCTATCATCCGTTGCATAAATTTGTTATTAAGCTACAAGCCATAAATCCAGACACTACAATATACTGAAAGAACATTAGTTCATCATTAAATTGAAGCAGAAGTGGTACACGGCCAGGCAAACTCAGCACCACAGAACTTCATTACAAGTTATTAAACTTCACAAGAAAACTCATGTCAAAAATATTAAAGCAGCCTACTTACATGCTCTCATTAGGTGAAATACTGTCATTTAGATATGAACCATTGGTGTTCTCCATTTCTGCTAGCCTGTGGAAAAATAAACAAGACTCATTAAAATCAATTATGTTTTCCAGAAACTTTATTTGCTTTAACATTCCTGAAAGAATTAAAGAGCGTGATGTTTCTGATGACTTAAGAGAATTTGAAGCTCAAATCAATTTACACTCACTGTTGATTACCAAAAAGTTTTGCAATAAGCTATCGCAAAGGATTGTTTATTTGCTGTGAAAACCTGGCTAAACTCACTTCTAAGTTTTCAACCCTTTCTCTGAGGTTATATACCACTCCTCATGATTAATTAATTCCAAAATCAAAGAAAGGCTTTAAAATGCCAGGGGATTACACAAATTGCTTTGTACCTGGCAATGTCATCATCAGAACTGTAATGGTTAGTAATTTCTCCCTGCTTTTCAATGCAGCCTCTCCTGAACATCTGACATAATTCAGAAATACCTCTCCTGATCAAGCGATCAGGAAGGAGGAGGTTGGACTAACTATTTTTCATTACCTCAACCCTCAAAAATTTGCTCGCCTGGTGGAAAAACATTTTCATATTTGTGCAATTAGCCCACTTTTTGATTCTTAAGAGCCATATGAAAGCAGACAAGTGAACTAAAGTAGCAATATACCACTATTTTAATCCTCCAAATCAAGGAAAAATCCTGTTTGTGTTACTCCACACAGTGAATTACTTAACATTAAAATAGCAGTCAAGATTCACATGGAGTTTGGAGCTTGTTGCTCTTCTGATTATTATGTTTACACCAGGGTCCAAAATAAAAACCAAAACTTTATGTAGAATCATAGAATGCTTTGCGTTGGAAGGGACCTTTAAGGGTCATCTAATCCAACACACCTGCAGTAAGCAGGCACATCTGCAACTGGATCAAGTTGCTCAATGCCCCATCCAACGTGACCTTGAATGTTTCCAGGGATGGGGCATCTACCACCTCTCTGGGCAACCCGTTCCAGTGTTTCACTACCCTCACCGTAAAAAATTTCATCCTTACGTCTAGTCTGAATCTCCTCTCTTTCAGTCCAAAGCCATTACCCCTTGCCCTATCACAACAGGTTCACTATGAAGTTGGTAACCTGAATGCACAGCTTAACGAAGACCCCACAGGACCTAAAGGCCACTTCTGACCACAGAGGTGCTCTGGCATGCAAGTTAGTTGACAGGCTGGTTAGTAGCAACCACAGATGATGCATCCCAGAGCCTGGAAAGCAAAACCCCAAATCCTATGTTTCTTTAAGAAGTGCTCAGGTAGCAGCTAGCCTTTGGGATTTATTAATATTTTTTAATGATTGCTTAGAGAAAGATTTGCCTCATGTCCAGCTGATCTCATACCTGCTAGCATAATGTTCAATGCGTGAATGAGTATCATCATGTGAAAGCTGAGGGGACGAGGCAGGCCTATAACGCAGAAAACACTGATTAATCACAAACAATACCCCCTTAAAAGTAAAAAGACACTTAGCTATGCCTATATCCTCACATCTCTACGCCTTGTGCTGATGTTATGTTTGATAAACAGCAAGTTACAACTCCAGGCGCTGCGTGTGCCTCTTCAAGCCATTGGTACAATGTTTTGTGGTACCACACCAGGGATTTTGACCATTTTGCAATCCATCTGTTGCAACGACTCTTCTTCCAGCAATCCCTGAAGAAACCTTTCCCAACGGATCTAAGGAAGAGCTTTCACCCCAGTTTTCCCTTCACACCTGCCCCTCCCACTGGTGTTTCTGTTTCACAGGCAGCCTTGCACCGGCTGTGAAGGCCCTGCTGGGAGCCGCTCTGCTGCCTCCCGCCCTGCTCAGTGCCTGCCTCCAGCACATCCCACTTCAAAGAGCCTTGAAGGACTACTACACGAGCAACTATAAATAAATACAAGAAACATAAAAAGTCTGAAATGAGCCTTTAATAACACACTGCAGACATAAATGATTTTGCCTGGCATCTTTCCCAAGTTGCAGTCTGAACCGTCGATCAGTGTGTTATAGAGCAAGACTCTGTCAACTGTTTTGGGTTTTCTGCCTGACAAATCAGATGGTAAGAGATCTTCACTTTTTGTTGATGAACAAAAATTCATGGGACTTTTCTTATCAATCAGAGTATTGTTTCATACAGCCTCAACTCCAGAAAACATCACCATTGAATTATGTTGCCTATGCAGTTCAGAGAGCACCTTTTGCTGACATGTGGGATGTTGCCAACCTACATGTATCAGAAGATGCTGGAGTAACAAAAAATGATGCATCTTCCCAAACTGTATGGCAATCTCATAGAGTTGCTAAATTTCAATTTGTCTTTATTCTATCTTTGCTGACACTCCTTGTGGAAATCCTGACTGAGGAAGGACTTCCCTTCCATTTAAAATTTTCAGATACTGTGTTTCGGGCTGGATCTGCCCAATGGGGACCACACTGCATTGCAAGAGCAGGTAAGTTTTTTATTTACTGGTTATAAATCAGAATTGTAATAATCTTGTGCTTCATAATGCTCCTGTGTTAGGAATTTGTTAATCCTGCAGTAAATCTACTAGACTGGTCATCTTCCAGTTTTCTAATCAGTCTGCAAAGGGTTCTAGAAAATTAGGAACCTTTTGAATTCATAGGATAGGTACACAAAATTCATCATCATTAATGTCTCTTCTCACAGAAAAGTAGTTTTTTTCTTTAAGATATTACAGGCTAAGTATCCCACGTCTCATTTTGTCTGAAACAAAGTTTGGCTTCCAACTGTACTTTTACCCATCACATGTTCAATCATTACCACAGCACAGCAGAGGATAAACACTCCATTCATGTGGATGGGCAACTGCTTCTCTGCAACTTCATATCCTATTTTGTGTAAGAACATCTACGCTGAAGGGAAGGGAGGGGGAAAGGCTGCAATTCATCTAGAGAAGTGGATACAGAGCAAGTTACCAACATTTTTCTGATACACTGATGCTATCCTTATTTTTTATTTGTTTGACCTACAGTAGATGTTAAGCTGGTCTAAACCAGTAACACCAATGAAGGAAGAGGTCTTGGTTTCAGTGCACACACAAATGTTTCTGCTAATACTTTGCATAGATCAGGAAATCTGTGTTAAAAGTAGCTTTAGTTCATAGCGGGATCATTCTCCTAGTCCCTCTTAATCTGGGATTGCACAGGTACTTGTACCAGTGTGAAGGGAAGGACAGCACCTGGCTGGGACAAATTGCGCAATGAAGGGATGTCCCTTTTGGTAGCAAAAGACAGGCCTGACTGCATGATCTCATACGTGCTGCCTTGAAACTAAGCTTCAAATTCAGAAGTGAACAAGGTGTGTAATATACGTGTCTTTTAAAGATAACACACTGTTGTGTAACTTGTTGAAGCTGATTCTATCTCTCCATCAAATGCAGGCAGAGGATGAGGCTACATTTCCAGGTTTGTCTCCACTTCAGAACATACTGCAATGGAGATCTACCTCAAACAGCTTTTTAAAAGTTTGCTTAAAACCAGTTGAGAAGCACTGCAGTCTTTGGGTTTTGCCTGAGCTCTGAGCAAGCTTGAGAACGACTGTTAGATGACCACCCGTGCCAGAGCTCACTATCCTTTCTTTCTGAGTACACACACTCAGCCCACCTAATCAGTTTGCAGAATCATCAGGAAGGCTGAGAAAGGGAGCCAATATTTAGCCAAGATAACCACCCCTTTTACAAAGGCTCCACAGATGTGTTGCTCAAGCTGGGGTCTGCAGAATCAGCCTGGGAAATTCCAGTCAAGTGCTGACTGAGTGGCAAATACCACCTTCTGCAGTTCCCTGCAGCACCAGAGACCTGGCTGGCAGGACAAAGGCATTTCTCTTGCTGTTCAGCATTTCAGTTGATGTTTCCTTAAAGTGTAGAACCAAGTAAACTGTATTTGTGTCACTGACAGCCCACGTTCCAAGTAAAAAGACAAATTCTCACAAAATGTGTGAATAACCCTGAATAAAAGGTCTGACTGATGAATCTGGAACCACCCCTGCACCTGAGCTTTAAACCTGCACAGCTCAGTAGCTTGTGTTGTAAGCCAGGGGTCCAGCATGAAGGAAAGGAACAAAGTCAGCAGAACAAAATGGAGAACAAGTCTTTCCACCCACTGTTCATTTTTTAATTTTCTCCTTTCTTGCCAGACCAGACAGAAGGACTGTGCTCAGAAAGGCACCAAAGTTCATCTGATAATAGGTGCAACCCCTCCATACAAATCCTGCTCCTCATCTCAAGTTTTCTTAAGTATTACACGAGAGCTGAAATCCCTGTCATACACAACATCAAACCTGTGGTGTGAAGCTATGGGTGTGGGCACAGCATGATGTTATTACTCTAAGTACCCAGAATTAAGCATGTTATTGGCAGCTTAATTTCATGTTACGTCAGACACAGCAATGGCATTCCGTATTATCCAAGCTTTCTTTAAATGTTACTTTAAACGCTGCAAGTGTTCTAAAGGGTAAGGAATCTAGACCCGCAGTTAAATATATAGTATGCTGCAGTCATCCCCAGATGCATTTATAAATGCAAGTGCATCCTAAGGTTCAAAGCCTCTCTGTTTCAGTCAGGCCTCAGCCTTTTGGCATTTTCTGTGGGTGAAACTGAGTTTTGCAGTACTAGATGTGTTTCTTGGTTGCTTAAATCTCCTAGAGGTAGAGCACTTAACTTGACCTCCCAGTGGTTTGTGCTCCAAATGAAAATTATAAATCAGTATTCCAATGTATATGTTTCACTATTGTTTATTCTACCAAAAATTCAGTGAAGGTGCAAGCCATATACATTTCACCAAATAGAAATATATAAAATTCTATTTTTTAGTTTCTCATTAGTTATGAATGTATGAATTAAAAATAATTCTTATTTAACATTGTTCTAAAATCATCCATATAACACTAGTAGTAGCAAATGACACAGTGCTAAGTATACATATCTTTAGTTTATGTTGTTACTACAACAGTAAGACAATGTACGTGCAGGAATTGTGCAAGAATGAAAATCTTTTCATTCAGCATAGCTGAAAAATCCTGCTTTGTAGCTTCTGATAAAAATACAGTAAACATTTCCCCATTTCAACCTGCCTTCACAAATCTTACTGTATCTAAAAAAAATAATAAAATATACAGTGAGCCTTGGATTAACTGGGGTACAGTAGTCTGCAAGTGTGCATGGTTGTCCAGAAAAACAAATTATAGCTTTATCTACAAAACAATGTCATTCCTGAAACTGAATTAAATCCATCAAGTTCAATTTCTACCTTTCAAAAAGCATTTAGTATACATTCAGAGGGATCAACACATACTCGGAAACACAGGCTTTTAAATAACAAATTGTCATAAGCATTAGTAGGATTGCACCAAAATTCCTGTTAATTCGATGAAAATACATACTCCAGAAAGAGTATACAGTACACAATCCATGATTGCTGGGAAATCCTGGATTTATCCCATTCTACTCATTTGGGATCAAAACATTCCTTCAGAGAGTGCACCAAAGAAAATAACCATAAAGAAAGAAGGAAATGAACTTATGTGAAACTAAACAAAGAAACAAACAAAAAAAATAGTGAGGGAACGCAGCAGCAGTAGCAGCAGCAGCACACTTCAGCAAAAGTACTCACGCAGAATCTACTGGCCAGAAGTTGATCAGAGTAACAGGACTGCAAGACAAAAAATGAGGAGGTGAAGAGAGAGGCAGAAGAAACTCAGCAGCAAAATAATTACAGAAATATTAAAAAAAAAAATTAAAAAAATCACAACAACTAAAAAACAGAAACTCAAGAGATCAACATGAATGACTGTGAAGAGCAGCCAACCAAAATGCTGAGAAAAAAACAGAAATATAAAATAAAAAAAAGAGAAAAAGAGAGAGAGAACAAGCTGCATGCAATTGCCATTTAACAATTAAACTTACTAAAAAAAAAAAAGGCAACTGGGTTAACTCATCGATTTCTCCATGTACATCATTATTGCTCTTTTTTCTTCCCCATAAAGACATCAAAGCCATTTAATAAGATTAAATTTATAGGGTGAGAAAAGAAGAAATAAGATGGTAAGCTTGCAAACACAGTGGCCTAATTAAGAAAATAAAACCACAGAAAGATACCCATTTGGAAGAAAATAAAATTTTAATGAACAGATCATTAGTCTCCAAACTGCCATATCAAACTTGGAAGTTTATATGGGTGTCAGTATGATGGTTAAGTATTTCTCTTTTACTAACTGAAGTGCCTGTATAAGGACAGGTTAAACCAGATAAAGACAATGGCAATTGGAATTCCAGCTTGTGTTTTCCTGCCAGCCAAGGTTAACAGAAATGAAAGACATAAAGAGAGAGGCTTTATGCATTTAGGAAGTGAAGGGAGTTGGCACCAGCTGGAGACCTCAAAGAGCATACCAAATTAATTGCTTAGACACTTTAGAACTACTCACGTTTCCATGTTGTCTCCCTCCAAGACAGTTTGCACAGGCAGGTAGCCCATTCGTGGGTGCTTAGCAAAGTATCTTTTTGTTCGAAATTTGTTTTTTAGTACCTTGGCAAAGTCACGAACATCTTCTCCTGAAGTTGTCTGAAAGCCACAAATCACAATGAAATCATCTTTCATGAGGTTATTACAGTTTTCTGGTTGCCTCTGTCTTTGCTGGGTCACTTGGAAGAACTGTGGCCATACCAAGGAGAGCTGCCAATGGCCTGACCTCCAGAATGGTAACTTTTATTTATCACTGTCACCTTACAATGTACTACACAGCAACACTGCTAGTGAGGAGGAAGGAGGAAAAAAGGGAAGCTCTAAAAACCCCTCACAGGCTATTGCCCCGTCTCAGGTGATCTCAAGAGGACAGTAATAATTAGAAAAGAATTTGTCATTTCCTCATCTGGCTTGGGAGATTCTCTGCCTGCCTTTTGTTCAGCACTCAAATGGCTGTGATGGAAGATACACAGCTGGTCCATGTGTCCAGCTAGCTGCTGCTTCACCGGCTGGATCCTGATTCTTACCACATGCTCATCATCTATATCTTGTGGACTTGTCAGTCCACAAAAGTCAGACCTGTATTCTCAGTACGTTTTCTTTCCAGTTCCCATTCTCAGCCTCCTCTGCCATTAATACCTTGATCAAAGAGAAATAAAAAGCAGGTGAGAGCTGCTGAAAGCTCTTAGATCAGGTATTTCTTCCTGCACCCGTTTAATGAAGCTGGCTGGCATTTAAGATCAATGCCCTGAGGACAGTACAATTCGCACAAAGTTTTCTGCTCCTTTGCCTGCAGTTGGCCTTCTCTGCTGCTGTAGAGACCAGCAGAGGAGTGCAAAGCTGAATTAGTTTCCTAAAGACCAGAATGAGCCAGGAGGAGTTCAAAGGATGTCTTCTGGGAAGATGCAAGACTTCTTGCCAGCCTGATTAAGAGTCAGGCGATTTTCTGAAGAATTTTAATGGAAGACCTCAGCTACTTTAGTCAGGCTGCACTCCCTTCTCAGCACCTCGCAGAGACACTCAACTCTGAAATACTGCTCTTCTACAGTAAATTAAGTTCTTCCTGACCCACATAACGATATCGCTTCTCCAGTGTATCTAATTTGAAGGAAAGAAATGAGGGAAAAGTTAATCTTTCTGACATTTTTTAATGAGTTCTATGCCTTCTATTTAGAGAGGAAGGAGGTGCTGGGACCTATCAGTCAAGCCAACCTCCACAGAGCTGTTGAAACATACATGTGTATATTTTTAATGACTGCCTGGGTAGAAAAATTAAGGATGCCCTGAAAAATAATCTGCATAAAGACTGAAATGTATTAACAGAAAGGATAAATATTATGCCTGTAGTGACAACACCTACAAGCTTCACGTAAAGCTGGAAAGAATTTGGCTCTCTTTCTGGTCAGCCTTAGTAGGAAAATTTGGTGTGAGCAATGACTCGCAGAGAAATGACACAGCAGAACCTACCAGCCAGTACAACAGCACCCACGTTTTCAAGAAACCAAGATAATGCTCATTATCAATCACTTCATCAATATATCAGAAGTAAAGACATTTTGGGAAAGGGAGGAGTAAGTATGCCCAGGCCACCCAGAGGACTTCAGAAAGGGGATATACAGAGGTGTCCTCGCATGCCCCTGCAGGAGGGAATTCCCTCTGCTGAATGCCATCTGCAGTGCCTGCTAGGAGAGCTCCAAACCAGATAGGCATCAGGAGAGAACACAGAGCACGTCAGCTGGGAACAGAGGAAAACTTTTAACATTTTGTTTGGGTATAAATGGATTAAGCACAGCTTACTCACATACCGTTTGTTCACTTGTGTAATTTATAACCATTTATTCCTGCCTTGTCTGTTTTCAATGTTGTGCACATTTTCAATTGCATTTGACTGTAATTTGGATTAAGTGTTTTCAGAAATTATTAACAATATAACATTCTTCACTTTAGCCTTTCTGGGACTGTTACCTCACCTTGCTCTCCTCAACCTTCTGCATGACAAGCAAACAGTAAAAAGGTGTGTTTGCACAGAAACATCCCCATCTCACTGGTAGCACAAGAATACCAAGAAGAAAATATGCCTTTTAGTAACAACTAGAAGCACCAGACAGCTCTCATACAATCCAACTGCCATTTTAAAAAAGTTCAAGGAGCACAAGAAAGGCAAAGAAAATGCGATTATGTGGACAACATGATAAACTGAGGCTATTCTGAGCCAAACTTCCTGATTTAGTCCACAGATATCTTATTACACATGGTTTTCAGAGTAAAATAATCCAAAACAAAATTCTCAGCAGAACTGGTTCATGAGGAAGAAATAGTGGAGTTTCAGCATCCCATCTCTCTTAAATCAAAGCAATACACAGGCAGCATGGTTGAAGATGTTCCAAAACTATTCCGAAACCAAAACTATTTCATAAGAAATAGTTCTTCTCATGTGAATAACACCATCTGACTTTTCTCAGTTTGGTTTAAGAAAGTGCCTTGCCAAACCCCAGCCCAGATCTCGGGCCCGACTGTAAACGGCAGCTGTAGGCAGCTATCTCAGTTAGACAGGCTGCCTTGTAGCAATGTGTTTTTTATGCTGGTGTATCACTGTTAAACCCAAACAGAAAAATGATCCTACATTTAAATCCCAGCCTAGAAGTTGTCTTCTCTAAAAGTCACCTCTCTCTGAACAAGAAATTGAGCTCTGTTGCTCTCAGGAATAACTGCTGCAATTTTTCCCTCTAATTGAAAATTAGGGAACTGCCTTGCCCTTATTCTGCCTCAGCCTTCTGCAGGAGGGGAAAAGTTACCACATCCCTCAGATACTTAGCATGAGTTCTAAAATCTCCCTGAAGCAGAATTAAAGACTGCAGTGTTCCAAAATTTCCTGGAAGTAAGAGGGAGGGGGAATAAAAATATCAAAACACTTCATTGTGCACATCTAGCTATTGCAAAGATGTATCAAAGAAGTCATTACATGTATTCTGCCTGCCAAAATGCATTTTAAGGTGAGAGATTTGTCTGGAGGAAGAGAAAAAATGCTCTGCCACCTGCAACCCCCTTTTCATTCATTTAGAAAACAATTACATACTAGACTTGATAGCTTCAGTGGATGTCTTGTGTAGTCACAGAGTACTGGGGTTTATTTTTTCAATAGCAGCAACACAGAAAAGATCAGGGCTTGCTGTGTGTCACATTCACTTTTCTTCCCCCCAGTTAATCCTTCTCTAATTCAACCGGCTGTTGGCGCAGCCAGGCACAGCACATTAGCACGGGCTGCTGGAGTTCAGGATTCACAAAAATATGTAGTGGCTGTGAATGGTTCTTTATTCTGATTCAGCAATCTGGATGTGGTTGCAGGTTTTCTGTTCACCATCCTGTTCACCTACTTGTAATCTGTACTTTCAGCGAGGACAGAAACCTGCTGGACCCCATGTTGCAGGGACTGCAGGCTGTGGGGGTGACTCACAATCCTTTTTTGTTTCCCTCTCCTCAAAACACATCTTATGAACATGTTAGCAAGATGTCGGTTTGTGCACTTGTTGCACCATTCACAACTCTCCCATGTGACTTAGTAGCAAGAATAAGAGTGGCAAACTGCAAACCAAGACCCTAGCCAATTCAGGAAGGAGACATTCAGCTGCGGCTCGCAGGAAGGCTCTAACTCTGTCACTTGCTCTGCCTGCAGCTCAGACCGTGGGATTCTGTTCC